TTATTATTATTATTATTATTATTATTATTATTATTATTATTATTCTGGAACTAACCTGACCCCCTTGGACCTTCCAGTCATGTTCTTTATGCTCAGTTTAGAGTAAAATTGGAACCCTCCTTCGTGAAGGCAATCTTACCAAAACCGCTTTAATTTTAAAATCCTGGATCCTGCTCTTGCTCTATGCATATTTGTTTAACATACTGTATCAATTTTGATTTTTTGGTGGAACAAAGGACAAAGAACCAAAAGAAGAAGAATCTGAAGACAAAGTGGACATAATGAGCATGTTTGCTAAAGCTCAGGAGCAGTATAACAAGGTAAGAAAAATTTGTCACATCAATAATGGTAAAAGTTTGAAATGAAAAGTTTTGTAAAGATTGCCTTGAAGATGAGGAAGATATGGATTTTTGAATCTAAGAATGTTTGTGTATTTTTTTTTTTTTGCAAAGAAATGTATGTGTCTAGCTTGATAATGAAACTGTGTTAACGCATGAGATGCATTAGTATCATACTGTACATTTCTCTGCAAAAATGCTTAGTTAAAAAAATTAATATCTTGGTCATTTTAAGAGCAATCTCCTTTTTCTGATAAATCCAATATCTTATAATGTCACGCTAGCATGATAATTGTCAATCTCACTGTGAAACTTATATTAATCTTTGGTTGTTCATTTGAATGTGTGAACAAAAGAAAACATCAGAGCAAGTTGAACCTCCAGAACAAAAACCACCCCTTCAAGAAAAACAGCAACAAAAGTTTCTCCAACAAAATCAGCAGCAACTGGAACAGTTAAAAAGCATGTTATCTGGAAAAGAACACGTCAAAGTGAAACAGAGAGCCTACTCTTCTCCTGCCCCTTATCAACCACAAGTTTACCCAGCTATGCCAACACAGTTTCCAAGTATCACTGAAAATGGCTTATCAAATAACCAGCTTCCTATGGGGTATACCAGAGAAAAGGATCTTGCAAAACCACAGTCGTTATCTGTAAGCAATGTTTTAACTTCTCAAGGAACTTCTGATATGTCTCCTGATAGACCTGGAGCACAAAGAAAGGTATTTTCCACACTATCTGATTGATAAGGACATCATTTCGTGGTTTTCATTTTAGGTAGCGGTGGGTGGGAAACATGTTACAGTATTTATGAAATGTGTTTTTGTCACTCGGTAAAGATCTATATGTAAAGTGTATGCTACATTGAGTGTATAAGTAGATTAAAAATCTGCCTCAGTTGGGTTCTCGCGGGACTTGAACCGCTGACCTCTCGTTTGCTAGATGAGATCTCAACCACTCGGCCACTGAGGCTTTATGGGAGAAGGTCGTGTTATATCTATATTTTAAATCAAATCTGCACGTGATCTTTTACCCAACTGAGGCAGATTTTTTAATCTGCTTATACACTCGATGTAGCATATACTTTACATATGTTACAGTGACAGCTGACCATAAACAATTAACAATGAATTAACCCAAACAGGAAGGGTGTTCACTATTGGTTTTGTAAACTGGAAGCAATGATGAATAATTATTTGTTAACTGTGTATAGGTTTATTTCCTGGGGGGTTTTACAGTGTGATTGGAAAAGGACAGGGATGCTTAGTCATACCTTTTAGGGTTCCAAATATGCGATTTGCAATTTAGGGTACTTCATAAAATTAAAAACTTCCACCAGAGAATTAGCCAGTACCTTTTAGGGTGTTTGGCAGTTAATAAGTTGCCTGTTATGAGATAACAGCTATTTTGATAAATAGGCTGGTGAACCTTTCGTTGCATGTTGCATACCAAGCCTGCACTGCACTATGGTTGATGAGAATACAATCAGCAGGGCCCGGTTGTACAAAGCTTGGATAACACTATCCAGCAGATAAATCCTTATCCAGTGGATAAGTCAATGCTGTTATCCAATAGAATTATCCACTGGATAAGATATATCCATCGTATAGTGCTACTCAGGCTTCATACAACCGGGCCCAGAAGGTCACAACAATATGAAATTAATTTCCCTAAACTTTGTCTGCATGTCTTACTGGCATAATTTCTTCTGTGCTGAAATTATTTACATGTTCACAAAATATAATACATTTCAAGCTTAGCATGCAACATACACCATTGCAACATGCAACCTGCAATATACAACATACAACATACAACATGCAACATGCAACATACAACATGCAATAGGCAACAGGCAACATGCAACAG